TGTTCTAAAAAACTATTTTAAAAAACAGTAATCAAACAGTGCTTGTCAGTTTTTCGTACAAAGAATAAAACATTACTTATTAATGTGATGTCACAAAAAAGTATTTATAAACGAAGAAGATGATTTCTTTATTTAGTGTGTAGATGGTCTCTCTTTTTTTTTCTTTTTTTTTGTTATTGGTACAAGCCGTAGGCAAAAAAATTAAAATATTGCATTTAAATAAAATAATTACGCATTTAATGTTGTTTCGAAAAAAATTACACATCTACTGCACAATGTGACGCCCAGAACTTGCGTCACATGTGTGCTCTATATATTTCCTCACCCCCTCCATTCAATTCACACCTCTTCTCTCACTCTTTATATCTCTCTTCTCCACCAACATTCCTTTATCTTTAATTTAGTATTTGAATTTTAGTTGTAATTCTATTTAAAAATGAGCTCAAATCCTGATTATGTTCGTGTTGTGTTATATTACAATGGTAGGAAGGTAGAAGGTCGACGAGGTGTCATATTCGAAGGTGAAAAAAGGCCGACACGTATCCAACGCAACACAACCATTGGCGAATTGCATCAGAGAATTCGGCAGAAGTTAAGTCTTCAAGACAACCAATGTATCACTGAGATCAAGACAAGGGTGTGGCAAGGTGATAAATACATTAGTTTGAAAGTGCTTGACGATGAAGACTTGGAGATGACAATGGAAGAATTTTGCAACCAGTCAAGGACAGATTTTCTAGAGTTGTATGTCGACATCGTTGCAACGGAGAATGCTCCCATACCGGTGAGGTCAGTTTATTTAAATTCTCCCCGTCTTCCAGCTTCTCCTGCCGCTCATGCGTCTCCAGTTGGTATCTTTTCTGAGGGAGATGAAAATGATCCGACTTGGGAAATGCACGACGAAGACGACGATGATGACGATGAAAATATGGCAATGGAAGAACATCTTCTGGCGGAGGATGCTAGTGCTTCAGAAAGAGATGAATCTCGTGAGATGGGTGCGTCTGAAATTCCAATATTCCATCAACCAGTCGTCGCGCAAATGCCGCAGTTGAATGACGTTGCGTCTGCTCCGTTTGGTATTCCACAAGAAGGTAATTGTTCCCATTTGTATACTGCGTGAATAAATAACTGATTTAATGTTGCCTGAATTAGTAGTAAGTTCGTATTAAAAAATTATAATCCGCAATTGCAGGTGACACAGATGTTATTCCTTTTTGGGAAGGAATTCCGCATTATTCTTACATTGATTGGAGTTATCAGAGCGAACAAGAATCATGTACTGATGGTTCGGTGTCTGGATCGGCTTCAATACAAGGTCCGTGGCAACTGGGTGACATATTATTTGTCAATCAAGAATTTGCGACAAAAAGAGATGTCCAAATGGCACTTAAGCACAACCTTATTAGGGAGCATCAAGAAGCCATTGTAATTGAGAGCACGCCTGCAAAGTTGTCCATGAAATGTTGTGCGTACGATCAAGGTTGTCTGTGGCGCGTAAGGGCGATCAAACCGGTGTTTCGTGAAAATTGGAAAATAACGAGATGGGGTGGAAAACACGAATGTGTGAATGAGCACATTTCCCAGGGTCATAGACAGCTCGATGCAGACGTTATTGCAGATCTCGTGATAGGTACCTTTTTGTATTTTAAATGTGTGATTGACCACAAATGTGTAATTAAATTCGTTCGATGTTAGCGAGGCACTGATATCTTCTTCAATGCAGGGATGATAAAGTCTGAACCATCTGTGTCAATCTCTTTGGTGCAAGAAAGGATAACTGCTAAATATGGCTTTCAAGTTTCGTACAGAAAGGCGTGGTATGCGAAGCAGAAAGCGATGACAATTCTGTACGGTGATTGGGAGGAATCGTATGCTTTTTTACCAAGGTGGTGCGAATACATGCTTCGCTTTTCTCCAGGTTCATTTTATCATATACAAACTAATGAAAAAAATAAAGTGGGGTATATATAGGTTGCACATGAGACGCCCTCTTTGGGCGTCACATGTGACGCCCCACTGGGGCGTCTTCTCCAGGAGAGAGACGCCTCACTGGGGCGTCATATGTGACGCCCAAAGAGGGCGTCTCATTGTGCAACAGATGTGTAATTTTTAACAAAACAGCATTAAATGCGTAATTATATACGGTTGAGTCTGGTTTAATAGAAATCTGAATGAATATGCTTCGAGATGTATGTCGTCATAGGATATTCTTGTGAGATGGTTGAGTTGGTGTTGGATTGCTTTGCTTGGCTGGGGCAAATGGAGGAAATACTTACAAGACATTTCGACGCTCAAGTTAATATTTGATTGATTATCTTTAATAAAGATGGATAAGATAAGCATATCTGAGTTTCAAGTCTCTATTATATAGTGGTTAGATGTCATGTTTATGCCACCTTAGTATAGCGACGAGAAAGTTTTTGGTGGGGCAGGAGTATGGTGGTCCCCTCCCAAATAGAAAAAAAGTAGGGATTGAGAAGGAAAAAATCAAAAAGAGAGAGATAAAAATGGAAGAAAAATATCTATTTATGGAAAAGGACCACTGAATAAATGGTGAGGCAGGAACATAATAATTTTTTTTCGTATAATGACATTAGTCTCGTTGGTCAATTATGGTGGCTTTTGCAGGCTAGCTAGTGCGCAGGATGCCTATTTGTGGGCTAGACCTTTTAGATATAGTTGGAATCATGTACTTGTCCCCTTGCTATTGGTTGTTAGGGAGGATGTAGAGTTCTGAGTTGCTATTATCGTAGTTCTTAGCTATAAATATAGCTTTCTTGGCAAAAGAAGTAATTCTCCTTAGACTCAATAATAGAGGATAATCAAACCCCAAAAAACAAGTAAGTTCATAAAGTAAGTAAAAACTCAGGAACACGAAAAGAAGAAGAACAAAAGGGTAAAGTCAAATACCTAGAGTTTTAACTTGAAAAACCCTTTTATACTTCTCAAGTGACACACGATCACAACACATTAAAACAACATGGCCTTATATGGAAATATAAAGAACAATGGAAGAAATTTTTTTCGAAAGCATTGAAGCAAGGAGCAAGGGATGAGTATTTCTACGAGGACAAAGTTTCAGAAGGAAATGTTGAAATTTCGCTCCCTTCTTCAAAGTAAAAAGCATATAAAAAGTCACTAGAGGGGTAAAACTGTTAAAATGACAGTAGATGAAATGGTGAAAAAGTTAAACACTTTTCACATGTCAAAAGATGGAAAAATTGATTAAAGGAATTAAAGACATATATTATAATTGTTATGATTAAAACTAACAAAATTAAGTCTAATCAATTGCTCCTTAAGCAACAAAGTGGCGGTTACCAACCAAAAACAAGTGATAATCCACTAAAATCTCACAATATACACATTCATAGAATGATCCCGCAAAAGAGTGATTCGGCTTAATAATGCATTCCGCTCTTCATATTAATGACAAGAGCAACTGGTTGAGGGCAACTTTCTAAACCCATTCCATGCGGGATATTGGGTCCAACCCCTAAATGACCCAAGAGGCCTAATAACCATGACTTAAAAAGTAAGAAAACATGTCCATCTCGTGTTGATGTCATTTCACAGGCATACAACTATGGCGGTAGCAGCTCAGAACTCTACCGCCTCCCTAATAGCCAATAGCTAAGGGACAAACACATGATTCCAACTATGCCTAAAAGGCCCAATCCACAAATAGGCATTCTGCACACGGGATAGACTCCAGAAGCCACCACAATTAACCAATGAGATTAAATGCCGCCATACTAAAGCGACATAAGTGGGACGTCCAACCACTTTATAATAGAGGCTTGAAGCCCATATATAATCATCTTATCCATCTTTACTAAGGTTCATCAATCAAATACTGATTTTAGCGTCGTAGTGCCTTGCAGGTACCTCATCCATTTACCCTTGCCAAGCAAAGCAATCTAGTACCAACTCAACCATCCTATTGGAGTATCTCGCGATGACATACATCCTGAAGCATATTCACCCAGATTGTTATTGGGTCAAGTTCAACTAGGTGTGATCCAACCCAAGTGATATGTTTGACCGATCAAAATCTTACATATTTTAACAAATAACAACCTTCTATTTGATTGTTTTATTGCTCAGATAAAAGCTTTGGTCATCTGTGTTTGTAATCAATTGAAAATTAAGTTTTTATCAACAGCAAATTTACACTTTTTGTTTCATTGTTAATTATAATATAAATATATACATATATAAATACAACAACAACTTTTAAAAAATCCTTAAATCAACTAAAAAAATTACATTTACATTAAATTATTAATAAAGGTCGTCAAAAAGTATTTAAATGTTAATCTACTTAAAAAAATTATATTAATTTTTTTCAGTTATATCAAATTTTAGTTTTTAGTGTCTAAATTATGTTAATGAATTTTAATTCTACATTACAAAAATTAAATTAGCAAAAACAAAATATTAGTGTTGAAAATAAATTTGATAATTAAAAAAAGAAATATTAAACCTATTTTTTTCTTTTAGTTCAATGCTAGGAAAGTTAAATTTCAATTTTTTAAAGTGTTTCACTTAAAACTATTTAAATGATTATTTTTTGTAAACATTTTAGAATTTTCACCCATTTTTTAATAAATTAGAAATACAAAATAATAAACAAAAAATAAAGTGAAGTGAAAATAAAAAATAATTCAGTTTAATTTTTAGATTTTTATTATTAATAATATTTTGACAATATTATGCATCGATATGATATAAATTAAATATTTAAATATATATAGGTTGAAAAAAAGTTTACTATTAAAGAGACGAGCTGTATTACCAAAAAAAAAAAGAAAGAGAGAGAGACGAGCTGATGAATGAAAATTTAAGAACCAAAATTATAAATAATTGCAAAATATATTATATAAAAATAAATAAAATCATTATTAATATCATGCTTAAATTAGTATATAAAAGATGTTCTTACTATAATTAAGAGATCAACTTAAAGATTTATTCATACAAATAAATATTGACAAAAGAAATTGTTTTTAAAACGATACGTGTAATGTGAAATTGATCCCGCTACTACTAGGGCACGCTTCTCTCTCTGGTGTTTGTTTTCAAACATTGCATCTGTTTCTGTCACTGCTCACTGTAAGTCTTTAACAACCTTCATTATCACTGATTCAAGCTCAGGTTCTAACTTTGCCTCTCTCTGATTCTCATATCAATTGAATTTCATCGATTTCTTGTGAAAATTTCGATATGGGTGCTTTACTCTCTTGTTTTCATTAGCATTGGGAACTTGGGCAAATTCTCATATTTAATCTTGCATTATTTTTTATACTGACGTTAATTGAATTTTTTTAAAGCGAATCACCAACTCTCTTTTTTATAACATTTATTTGGGATTAAAAAAAATTCAAACTTTTCATTATTTTATTTTTTCTGTACCCTCCACAGGTTTTGGGAAAATTTATAGTTGATTATCCATGGCTAATAATCCATCACAGCTTCTGCCATCAGGTTTTTGATTTCATTATCTCTCTCTAACTCTTTTTTTTTTTAAATTTAAATTTTGGTAATTCAATATAGCATTGAACTCTATTTAAGAGAATCTTTCATTTGTGTTGGAAATATGCAGAGTTGATTGACCGATGTATAGGTTCGAAAATATGGGTGATAATGAAAGGGGACAAGGAGCTTGTTGGTACTCTTAGAGGCTTTGATGTCTATGTTAACATGGTCCTTGAAGATGTTACTGAATAGTAAGACCTACATTGCCACATATTAAGTTTTGATCCACTCTTTATTCCTGATGTTCTATTATTGGGTCTTGTGTATATATGCTTGTTTCTCTGCAAAACGTGTTGTTGGGTAGGAAGTAGGAAATGCAATTGTAAAATGGAACAGAATAGGACCATTCAGTTTCAGGCTTTTACAGTGATGCATTAGGTTTTACTCAACAGGAAACTCCTTTAGAGTGCTGGATGGTTTTGTTGTTAAACTTTCGGGGATGGAATTGTTTTATGCATGAATTCGATGCCCCCCTACTTTTTAGAACATCCTTTGAACTGGAGTTGTTATATTACCTTGTTTTGATCATTTGCTGTTTTTTTTTTTTTCCTACCAACTTTTTTGAGTGTTATCCCTACTTTGAATTGGTGTGACTTTGGAGTAGTAATGTTACTGATCTAAAAATTTTTGTATCTTACATTTTTCATTTGTCCATGCTGATGGCTATTTACATAATAGTTTTGGCATTTTTATCATTACGAAGTTAATGGAAATATAAAGGCTTCTATTTTAATGATTTACCTGCTGTTTATTGTTACTGGTTGAGTGATAGTGACACACTTTGTTATTTTCATTTTCCTTGTTTTTCTTCAATCTCTTAATTTGTTCTCTCTTTTCCCTTTCTTAGTATTTTTTTGAGGATTAGGGTTGTGACTGGAAGTTGTGCCTGAATTTTTAGATTCTTCATTCAAAGTTTTTCAGTTTAAAAATATAATGTCCTTGTACCTTTGTTCAAGAGAAAAGGGTTAAACAACTTTGGTTTTATTTATTTTTTTTGTTAAAAAAAAAACTTCCCCTCCCTTTTATCACATTGCTCAGTGGCAATAATCCATCCAGAGTAGATTATTTAGACATTTTGGTAACCCCTAGCTGTGTTCTATCAGTTTGGACTGAATTGTTTTACTGGTTAGTTTTAGGGTGCTTCAGCCGAATTATGAATGTAAAGCTCTGTGGTAGTGTGCTACTATATGTGATTCTGTGCTTTGATTTATGTATTTGGATTGAATGAAATGGTTGATTTTTCAACGAGAAGTCCTTATCTATATACCTGTAATATGGTAGGATAATATTTTTTGTGGTAGGATAATTTCAATGGCTGCTTCTTTGTGTTTGCCTCCTGAGTTTTTTTGAGTTTTCTATAGATATGTAGAGCGATTGCACTGTATTCTTGTCAGCTTATCCTTTGAAGTTTTGGTGAATTGTGTTTTTGTTGCTTTACTGTGGAGGAAATCTTATCCTCCTTTGTAAAATTCTCTTCAATTTGAAATATTGTATCTTCCTATTACAATAAGAAATTAAAGCAAGGTTTTGTTTCATGTCATTGCGTGAATTTGAGCACTGTAGTGCTCAACTATAAATGGAGGAGGAGAGCTATTGTCGCTCTAGTATTTCACGTGTCATATTGTTTGTTCTTTCTTGGATGGACATGTTTTGGCTCTGCAATGGATGGCATTTTGCAAGAACATTTAGTGGATTAATGATGATGTTCCTGTGTATTATATTTTTAGTCTCATGCAAACCTATTGGCACCGTTGAACCAAATGTTTGGTTGATTTTAAAATTGGTTGAATTAATGTCTCTGGATTGAAGTACTCTTCGTGTTATGCTCTTCATGTTACTTTATCATTATTATTGGTTAATCTTCTACAAATTTGAGAATTTTACTTTTTATTGTTTTGAGAGAATTTTTTAAAAAAAAAGAGTTAAATTGCTAATAGTGGATGGATTACTAAGAATGGAAAGAAATTCAACATTTCTGGCCGTTTGTTTCAGGGTATAGAGAATTTCTAATAAACTGGGGAAGGTACATATGGACAACAGAGTATAATATGTATGTCAGGATGGAAGGCACGCTTAAAAACTTTGCAAAGTAGGTTTCCTTGGGGAAGAAAAGATGAGAAAAACAGAAGTCATATTTGATTTGTTCTGGGGCTTTATAATAACAGTGGATTTTTGAACTTTAGTAGCTCATTGGTGAATTAATGATCTTGGATTTAAAGGCACAGGAAATACTAATTTGAAATTTAAGTTTTAGGAGGTTTACTAAAGAAAGTAAACAGCTCCTGGACTACTGATTTTGTCTGAATTCCTATTTTAATTTGAATGTCTGTGTACTAGGAATAACCATGGACCCCCAAAAAGTAAAACGTTATGGTCAATACAGTAGAATAGTTGCTAAGAGCCATGATCCTTCACTTCACTTGATTGTTATTAGGCATGATTAATCTAGAATTGGTAATATGTCATGAAAATTGAAGAGATTATAATTAGACTCGACGAGTCACATCCAATGCTAATCTCTGAGAACTTGTGCAACACATACTTTTGTCTATTTGTTGAGGGGTATTTGCCACAATTCTAGCTGAACCAATAGGAGTCTTCCACATGTTTGGGATGCTTTTCCCAAGGCCCAAATGAGAAAGCCTCTCATTTGGCCCAACTCTCCTACTGCTATCCTCCACAAGTATGAAAGTGCCTCTCTTGGATAACACTACCTTACCTAAATGATTTGTCCTCAGTGCATGCGTGAAAGATTATCTTCACCAGGAAGACTCACACATATCCTGTAACTTATACTTAGCTCCCTAGTACACCTGCTAGCTAGTCAAAAGGACATGCCCTAAAGTAACTGCATGCAGGTCTTAGATAATGTAACCACTGTTACCCCTCAATGTCTATAGGAACTCCCTATGCATGCTCAAGGAGTCCCCAGTCTCTACCTTTCTTGAAGCTATTTAACCAAGAGGCATGTGATGTGATCCCCCTGTAAAGTCTTTTGAGCTCTACCATTATCATCTTTTAAACTTGTTTAAATAGTGTGGTACTATTATGTCTAGGTTCGGTGGATCATGTAAATATAGTAAAAAGGGCAACCTGGTGCTATAACGCTCTTGCTCTGTGCAGTGTCCAAGGAAGGATCATACCCATTTATGTGAAGCTATAGTAGGCCGCCTTATCTTGCTTTTCTTAGAGGCTGATTACATGAATCAAACTTGTGAATCTGTTGTGCCAAGGTTCCCCTTCATCATTTAAATATAGTAATCAAGAAAACTATATCTTTGTGTTATATAAATATTGATTCTGTGGTGGAGTTGAGACACATGGTTTTCCACACATGCTTATCTTTTCTCTTTCTCTCAACATATCAAGAACCTTAAAAGAGTGGCAACCCAAAAACTGAGGATACTTGGTGCACCTACTGTCCTCTAGTGAAATATTAGTCAGTCTCAACTCTGGTCTGTACCATAATCTGCCAGCCTATTCTCTCTCATCCATGCCGCTGTTGGTATTGTGGCCAAGCACCAACTCTACCGGCCAACTCCGCCATTGTTCTTAGCTGGTCCACTCCTCTCCATCTGAAGAATAATTTTTTAGATCTTGTTTGCTGGAGTTACCTAGTGATTGAGCTATTTTTCTTTCATTGTTTCTTATATTCTTGCATTTCTGTTCTTCTGGAGCATACATAACCTTATTTAGCCTTCCTAGTGGGCTCTCTTTTTTTGGGTAAAATAAGTCTGAAATATCAAGTGTAAATTTGTATGAATGAAACTTTGTGGCATTTCTCATTATCAACTTAATTATTTGAAACTGTACTTACAGGGGAACTTTCTTATCATTGCTTTGTGTCTTGCATGATTTATGTTAGTTATCCATTCTCCCTGAATCCTGATTCATATGTTCGTGTGTGGATGCACATTGGGAAGCTTTTGGGCACATAATAAGTTGATTTGTTTTATTGCTTTTATATTTCATAAACAGTGAGATCACTGCTGAAGGGAGACGGATAACAAAGCTTGATCAGATTTTACTCAATGGAAACAACATTGCCATTGTAAGTCTCAAATACTCAATTCTTTTTCATGTACCTAAAATCAATGCAATATTAATAAACCATTTGATTTGGCAACTTTAGAAAACGTTGACAATAATCTCACATGATTTTTAGTTGTTCATCTGCATCATACACGTGTTGTCCTGATACTAACAATTATCTGGCATAATGCAGTTGGTCCCTGGTGGTTCACCTGATCCAGAATGACTAGTTCTACTCGGTTACATTTATTTTTAACTCTCAAGATGTTGCTCTAGGCACGTAATTCCTATATTTTAACGAGGATTCTGAGGCCAGCTAGGTTTTTTCTTCAGTGAGCTTGTTTTTAGGATATGTGGTTCTAGTGTAATGCATATTCAACTTTTATCATGAATTGTGGATTGTCCGGTGTAACAAGTAATGCTACTGATTATAACAATTGATTATGCGCCTTTATATTCCATTCAATGTTTCTACCTCAATTACTATCAACTTTCACTTTGTACGCTATGAACTGATTGTGAGCTAATTGGACTCTATTTTCGCATTTTCATGTGGTACGTTTTTTAGTAATATGTAATTAAAGATTTATTAACATATGATAAAATGAGATAAATTCTTTAATGTGTGAACCTAAATAATAATTAATATAAATTAATTAGAGATTAGCTAATTTAATATATTATTTACACAATTAATTATTAAACTTTATCTAGTATGTCATTATTAATTCAATGCATTTTTTTTCTCTCCTGTAGTATACCCATGATCCTGCAAGTTAAGTTCAAGAACAAATAAATCTACATGTAATTTGTATAAACCAATAAACAAATGGTAGTAATTTTTAGGGGAATTTTTTTGTCTTTTTAAAGGATATATAATTATGTCATTTTAATTAAAATTACTATATTTTATAGTGAAAGAAACAGTTACACAATAGAAATCATGGTGGGAGAAAGTGAGAGGTAAATTTTTTTTAAATTTAAATAGTAAATAAAACACTAGTTTTTACTAAAATAAAATAATTTTATATCTTTTAAAAGGACATATTTTTTATTAATTTTTATTGAGATTTTAAAATGTAAAAAAAAATAAAAATTCTTTCGACTTGATTTTAATTAGGAATATGAATAATTTAACATGATATTTAGCCGACTGCCCACTGTCCTTTTTATAACATGTTCTAATATATAAAATAAAATAAGTAAGTAATCAATATGTTTGTGAATAGGCATAAATAATGATGAGTTTTATAAGAGTTATGTTGTAGGAAAAATGATTGTGTTATGTTATAGAGATTCGTTTCGCGTGCCGTAATTTTTTTTTTTTCTTCAAAACATGCGGGTCTCACAAAATATTGTGTGTGTAGGAAAGTTGCTGTGATCATGTTAAATGATAGATATAAATCCCAATAATGATAGGTAATTTTCTCATCAAAGCAAAATAAAAGTAACATTAATAATAAAAGATATTCATGAATGATGGGATGTCCTCACGTTGAATAATTTGATGTGCGGAAGTGTTCCAATGTTAATTTGGAAGAATGATTGCGGAGAAAGATGTAATGATGATATCAAAAGTTTTTTTTTGGCTTCCAAATGATTTCACTGATCACTACCAATTGCAAGCTAAAATTGATTATAGTTGCCAGTATTTATTCAGAGATGAATTTGAATGTCATGAATGTGATAATTATGGACATTCAGACAAACATGAAGTTCATAATTATGATTACATGAATTCTTGATTGACAAATGACAGTGAATCACTGTCTGATACTTTTGTTGGAGTTTGAGATGAATAACGCAGGTGCTGTGAATATTTCTGTTGTCTTATAACCGTTAGTAACGAATGTCTAAAAAGGTGGCTTAAATGCATCCATAGGTACAGGAAGAGATACAATAATATACTACTGGAAAGAAAATGCTACAAGCAACATTTTTTTTTTTTTTGTTCAATATTTTATTGTATTATACATTCTTTTTAGTAGAGAACCAAAGTTGTAATGCTTTACATGTATGACCTTTATAATATACACTGAAATATTATAAAATAAGAAAAACGAAAAAACAAGAGAGGAAATAATAGGAAAAAAATCACCCAATCTTGTGAGGCATAATAAAGTTAAAATGTCACCTAGAATTCATCGAAGTATGAGAAAGGTTGCTTCTATGATCAAACTGAAGCCTCTCGTCAAATGAAGAAATAAGAGAGTAACCAGTGATGACGACGACGACGATGCACGTAACTTAATCCAGTTCAGCAGCCATGTCACATTCATAAATATGAATCTGAGATGTTCTTGGATGACAGATATGCCCAATTAGTTAAATCCAGCTGATTGAGCATTAAATCTGAGCTCTCTCTCTGTGTAGAAAACTGACAAATTGAACTGATAGCAGAAGAAAGCCACCTTTTTGCTTCATTTAAGCACGTTTTGTTGCCCTTGCTCTAGCCACAGACCTTAAGTAGAGATCCTCATATTGTGCTGCTGAAGAATCCCAGCTGAAATCTATGTTCATGTCCTTCTGAACAAGTTGCTTCCAACTCTCAGGATTGTTCATGAAAAGATTAAATGCACGTACCAAAGCACCGTTTATTCCCTGTCAAAATTGTGGGATTAGAATTGACCAGAACAATGGACAGCATCGAATAATGCTTCCCTAGTACATGAGAATGTTGAAAGGTGAGGGAGGTAAGAGTTAGATATAGAACAGGTGAAGTAAAATCAATTGTGGCATGGCTTTGTATGACTGACTCTATCCTAAAAAAAAAGACAGAAATCTGTGACTTAGGACTGTAATAACATAATGTGCTATTTTGCTTGTTTACCTGCTCATCGGCATTCAAAAATGTAAATCCATTTCGAAACTGTGAAGGTATTGTATCATCATCAACATCAAAAACACTACAAAATGAGACAGAATTTACTTATTCTTCGGAAAACAAGTATTATGTTTTTCGTGTCACATCATGCATGCTATGCTAACCTGTCGTTCAGGCCACCAGTTTTTCTGGCAATAGGAATGGCACCATATCTCATTGCTATCATCTGCAAGAAAGACATTAGGAAACTGCATAAAGCAAAAAACAAGTGGGAAGAGAGAGTAGTAGCAGTAGTAATAGTAATACACTATAAGGTCTATACATAGATAAGTTAATAACTTACATTCAGCAAAAAAGAACTTGGTCATTCATGAGGTCACTAGAGTTTGTTAAATATCAGGTTTTTTTATTGACAGCAGTGATTGATGCTGAAAACAAAAACTTTTAATCCACCTTTTGGTGTTCTACTAACTTGCAATGATTGATGTTTTACGCCGTAACCATATCCTAATTCTTTTACGAAATACCATGTCCCCATATTGTACCGCGTTCGTATCCGATACCTGTATTCGTTTACATTCCTAAGGAACGCAATGTCCTCCCTTTTTTTATGTATGGAACCAACATAATTTTACTAAAAAAGATAAGAAAAGGTTTAAATAAGATTTTGGCATAGTTATCAAATGCGGATTGCAGCATGTCGCGGCCAACCCTGAAAAACGCTATAGCGTTATAGCGGGTTGCGGTTGCGAAAATAGCGGAATAGATATGACAGAAATAATGACAAAAAGAAACATTTTTTAAAAACAGAGACAGCAGAAGTGATAGAGACGCGGATAGGCTAAAAAACCCTTAAATTTTTTGTTACACATTTAAATTTAGGACAAAATTGACATTTTGCCTTATAACAGCAATATGGCCGAAAATGCGATCGCAGTGGCCACTATTGTGTTCCGATACGACGCGGCGCGGTTTCTTGCGGCGAGGCACCGCAACGCCCATACGGCGCGGCTCGCGGCGCTATTGCGGCGCAATTAACTACTATGGATTTTGGTCCCACATCTTGGTTTTGGTTCCTATTTTTCATGAAGAATTAGTCTTCAAAGTTTACATATACGAAGGTATTGGTTCTTGAGGGACCAATATCTAAACGAGTAAAATATGTAGACTAACGTTCAAAACAAATAATTTTAAAGACTAACACCCAAATGGGTAGAAGGTAGCTGGACCAAAATCTTATTTAAAACCTAAAAGAAAAATTCCAATTTTGCAAAGACCAATTCCAACCACCTTAGCTATCATTATCCTTATCTCAAAACCTCACTGTGATCATCTCAACATTAATCCCTAAGTAAAATAATCTTTAATAAACTCAGGGACAATTATTTATTTAGGCTGCATCCTTATTATGACCATAATGGATCTTAGATTTGAGGATCCAAATTAATCTCTCACTTTTGCCAATTCATAACCCAAAACCTTTGTATCTCCATATTTATCTTACTCTCTGATCACAGATACCCCAGATCTTGTTTACCAAATCTGAATCTGTCTCTTCCTTTGTGTCTGCTTTTAACTCAGCTACTATGACCATCTTATTCCAGTTGGATTCTTTCTCACCACCCTTTATTTCATTTAAGTGCAAAAAATGGACTTTGGCACTAAATTATGGATTGAGTTTGACTAAAAGAATATCAGTTATTAGTTGAGTAATAAACATATAAGCCTCTCTAGTCATGATACAGTTTTCTATAAAATGACAACAATTTTTTACCATGAAGATACATGTATCATGAGAAGAATGGAGCATAGGTTTGCTTTAATCATAGTATTCTACAATAAGTAATTTTGCAGAGTTTTTTTTAAAAAAAAAAAATCTTTGAAATTCATGAACAGCCTTGACTTTACCTGTGTTAGGCCACAAGGTTCAAAGATCGATGGAATGATGAACATGTCAGATGCAGCATAAATGGTATGGGAGAGAGATTCATCATACTTCAATATCAACCTTATGTGATCATGATTCTGAAAGTGGTTGGCAATGCCCTCAAATTCTCTCTAAAGAAGACAAAAATGTTGATCAGTTGAAGGAAAATAGGAGAATGAATTGGCATTAAAAAAAAACAAATTTCAGCCTTAACAGCCTACTTTCAACAGTTTAAAAAGAGAGAGAGAGAGAGAAATAAGGTCTCATGAATCTTAGATTTCACATATTCTCTCACACCCGCATAATTTAAAATAGTGGTTAAGAGTGTTTCGCACGTACATATACAAATAATTGAACATATATGTTTATGATCCTCTAAGTACATTTTCTCTAAAATCATTGAGGCCTAACTTATTGCTACATCTTAGATTACAGTACAGGTCAGTGTATGCCAAATTTGAAACTGTAAGAATAGAATGCAACATTATTATTTCCAACTTCACATAAAGTTATATTTTAACATATCTAAATTCCAGAATCTTATCCCTTGATTTAAAATTAGATACATTTACTGAATTATTGCAGAACATATACAAATCCTAAAGACATCCAGTTACCAAAAATTCATATAAAACAATATGTGACATCAGCTCCACATGACGTGATCAATTTAATCAAACATTCATCTCATTGAATCAATATTATAAACATTAGAGGATGAAAAGCATAAACATAATTTATCTCCTATATGTAAGAATAAGAAAAATACATTAGAAGCTACTACAGTGGGATTATATATGTACGGATATGGAAGCTATAATCCAGTTCAGGTATTATGCTTCCATAATTTCCCAGATCCATGTATTATTTCTTGGTTACAATGACAATCCAAAGGTTTGAAGCTATATGAAGATGCATACAACCCAAATCCCACACCGCTAGTTCAATTCTAGTGGCTTGATTAAGTATAACTTGATTTGCACGTGTAAATCAGCTTTTAGGTACGTGCCACCAGAATAGTAAATACTAAATAGTAATACATTTGTAAGCCAGAGCAATTATAAAGATACATAAAATGTCTTGCTATCTTTTCTTTTCTATTTCTTTTTCTTCCTTTTTTTTTTTTGGTTTGTCTTTGCAACAAGGTGTGCGGTTTTTTTATTTCACTGAAACATATGCCTATGTAAAATAATCTTTTTTTTTTGTTGAGAATGAATCCCATCTATACGGTATGGTGACGTGACATTTTATTGACTTTCTTATTCTATACTGTTTGAGTTGTCTCCTTTCTAAAATGAAATAGAACCAAGTGAATTTCAGCTAGGAGAGAATATATGACCTGAATATGTGGCACTGGACTTGAACCAAGTAGAACAAATTGTCCTCCCAGCTCCAGTGTTAGATATATTGCATGTCTGATAAGATGAACACCTTTTTGTGGAACCAATCTTGTTATGCAGCCAACCTATCCAAGAAGAGAATATGAAGATCCAATTATTAAAGCATGTTCATTTCTAAGAGTAAGACAATGAATGATTAATTATTAGATGAGTAACAGATAATTTAAGATTTCAAGATAAAGAATATCATTTCCCCATATGTATGAAAGAAACCTATCAAACAAGCAGCAAATGGCACCATAAAGCAACACAAGTCAGCTACTGCCAATAATTAATTGAATAGAATACAGGAATTATAGTTTATGGTGAATAAAACTGCAGGTGATTGTTTATAACAAACCAAGAACAAAGACACCAGTTAGAATAGCAAGTAGATTCAATGCAATTATAGTTACAATTTCTTGTAATGTCCTAGCAGTAATCACATTCTATAACTTTTTAGATGGAAGTTATGTGCACATTTGGTATGGAACTAAATACCCACTTCCCTTTGATTTTATAGCAGCATGAATGATTTTGTCACCTACCACTTGGAAACTGATGAGACATTGGGATGCACCACCCCAAAAGCTAGCTTAAAGGGTGGGAGTGTCCAAGGCCTTATAAACCCCACAATAGTTGCCCATACAACCAATGTGGGACTTCGGGTCCCATACCTTGCAAATGGAATCCAACATTCCACCACGCTTCCCTAGTCCGTGCCCCCCCGCACACTACACGTGATGGACGCTCTGATACCATTTGATGAGATATTGGGATGCACCATCGCAAAAACTAGCTTAAAAGGTGGGAGTGTCCAAGGTTTTATAAACCTCACATTAGTTGCTCATACAATCAATGTGGGACTCCAAGTCCCATACCTTGCAAATGGAACCCAACAGAAACTTTTTCATTTGTCATGAAATAATGCAATTGTACCAAAGCAGGTAATAGGTTAGAATGAAAACTGGGATGGTTTTTAGCTTTGTAAAAAAATCATGTATTGAATATTGACACCAAATTTCTGTGGGTCAAGTTATTCTTATCCAGAACGTATCCAATTCTGGTATCAACACTCTACAGAATAAAGAGTAAAGACAGATGCAGAAACCACAATTCTACTGAAGATAAATTAACCATTCCCCTCATCAGCACATCAATATACATTTTTAATTGATAGATTCCACAAGATAGATCCATTTGAAAGTCTTGGTACATCCGTTTGTAATGTTTCATAAGGCACATAAGTCCAGTTAGCTCTAGAGTTATTGTCCCAAAAAAACGGAAAAATTAAAAGCAACCATAATATAATTGATGAAGTTGGAATCTTTAAAACTAATGACAGATAGAAAATAATGTCAATTTCAAGAAATGAGAGAAGAGCAAACTATGATTTATTGTATCAAATAAATTCTCATTTGAAATTAGGACATATATTTACCAATGGCCTCCTAACATCTGCAGATGAAAGACATAGGTTCCTTCTCAATGCTTGCTTATTCTCTGCTTTCCCTTGAAGATCATTTGCATTGTACTGAACATCAAGAAATGTGTCGGTGGCAGGATTCCATGAATCAGTGTCAATGCCATTAAGAATACCAATGAACTTTTTGGAGTGAGCCGAGAGAGTTGAATGGAGGCCTTGTCCTCCCTGCATTTTGTACAATAATATCATTCATGGAAACAACTTTAAGATTGAAAAGTTGCGAGGAGTTCTTATGCACTAGTTTAAACTAAAAAAAAAACATTGAGGATGAGTTATGCGTGATTCTCCATACTTGATTCCTAATTTAAGAACCTGCTGACAGCTTAATCCACTATAACAAATAAAAACTGTGACGTCTATAATCTAAAATTATTTAGTACATAGAAAGATATGCAGTAAAATTGAAAGGTCAACTGTAGATCCTTCCCAGGTTATGTCAATATGCAAATCAAATCAGATATCCTCCTATTCAACAAGTAACAATATCAAATGCCAAATAGCTGGTATAAAGACATAAGCATCTCCTTCATTTATTATAAGAAGAAAAGCCGTTAAGAATCAAATCTCTGAAAAGTTTAATCTGTTAGGCGGAGCACATGAGTGATTTCATATCTATAATACATCTCGTCATCCGAAGGTCTTTTAGGTTTGAAGCATGGAAAAAAAAAAGCTTACTCGAGCCTGTATTTATTTATGTCAAGAACCAAATCTCCAAAAAAACTAAAGCTGCTAAGTAGAGCTTGTGGATGGATTTTATATTTTTAACACATACCCACATGCCAAAGCCATATGGTTTAAAGCACGGAAAAGCACAAGCTCACTCAAACCTTGTGCATACTTTTTTTTTAATTAAAAAAAAACCCTGTGCAGGAATTTTACTTTAACTAGAAGCATAGAGGTGGCATGGATTGAACTCTTATTGATCATAGAAACTCAAATACCATGTCAAGGACCAACTCTCATGAAAATTTTCAGGTGGAGGCATCTGAATCGTTTTATCTCTCTAACAATCCTTTTTTCGGAACAGTCTGCTCACCATAGAAAGGAGTGTGAAATAGAAGAAGCAATTATAGAACATGTTATTCACAGTTGTTCTTATGCTTGTGCCAACATGTGTGCTAGCCTTATTATTCTATTAATTAAAAAAAAAAAAAAAGATATTTTGATAAAACAGAAAAAGCCTAATATGCACAAGAACAAGAAATAAACCATACCTCTGCAGTTCTCACTTCTTGGGCATAAGTAGGTGACACTGTTGTCACAATGTTTGAGAAAACAACTCCACCCTGACCATTGGCAGGTAAAACTCTTACTTATATTTGATGATATATAGTATTATAGATAATATTTTAATTATTATACCTTGACAGAATTGACTCTATCATGTGCTGAGTTGTCCTGCATTCTATCTGGTCTGTTTAGATGGTGGGCATCAAGACCACATGATTCCAACTCTGAAGCTGCTGCAGTCCCTTGATACTCAAAGTTGTGGCATGTAAAACATATCCTAGCTGAATTTAAACCTTTCGGGGCATATATATCCCAATATAGAGGAGCCTAGCAAAGGACCAACAAAATGTTATTCTGTTTCTCAAATAGAAAAAAATTGCTAGAAAGAATTTGTTAGCTCATACAATGAATGCTGTCTGCCAATCATGGCAATGAATGATATCTGGCTTCTTGCCAGCTTGAAGAAGAAACTCAAGAGCTGCACGGCTAAAAAATGAAAAGCGTCTGAAATCATCATGCTCGCCATAAAATTGTCCTCTCCAAAATAACTTATCAGGATGATGGGGTTCAATGAAATAAACAGGAAGGCCTGCACAGTTAAAACCAAGTTAATTAAACTGTTGAAGACATTCAATTAAAAGGGAAAAATTTAATTGTTGACCTTCAACAGTGCCAGCCCAGATTTTATTTTTGAATAATTGTCCATCAAAGTATGACGGTATCACCACATCCAGAGCCTGTAAGAATAATCAAATTATCACGAGTAGTTCAAGATACCAACTACCTAGACACTGTCAACATGTTTGATTCTTTTCTCAGTAGAATAACATACCCTCAAGTCACGGACGCGGTCATGTTGCATACAATCATATTTGGGGACTACAATTTCAACAAGGTGTCCTTTCTTTTGCAATGCTTTCCCAAGACCACTGACAACATCCCCCAAACCACCAACCTGTTACAGAAATGACTTAATCTAAATATTAGCATGTAATGCGAAAAAAGATAGCTTAAAGCTAAGGACCCGGCATCATCCTAGGAGAAACAAAATGGAAAGGTATAATGAAATAATCAAACAACAGAGAGCTTCTTGATCATGTTAAATTTAAGTTGAAGGGATACTCCTAGTGATTCCATTGGGAAGAAAACTCTACTGACAAAACTACCCCATCTTGACAGTAAATGCGGTAACAGAATCTGTTAGTTTCTTCAAGGGAATCATCCAAGAGATCAACCTTCCTTCGGGGATAGCATTTAGTGGTTGACACCCTTAAGGATTGCTGCAGTTCACTCTGACCAAATCCTCCATGATACAAACTTCATACACATCCAACGACCTGGACCTTCTCATTTTAAATCAAAACCCCAAAAATGGATAAACAAACACTCTCCCAAGGTCTGTTGACAAATCCACTGAGGTTCAAAGATACAATACGACCTATCCCACACGCACCATGCACTAAAACAATGTAAAACTGAATGAAACTGTTATACTATTAGGTAATTCATAATTCAGGAACTAATATATTAGGCTCACAGCATAAAAAAATAGCACCACTTCCACAGATACAAAGCAAGTATCTACAAGAAAAACTGTCCCCATGCTCACAAGGATATGCAGATATGAGATAATCACATGCAACTACCTATGCACCAAATGAGACCAAAATAATTAAATCTTAAGAACAGAAAGTGTAAAGAACCATTTTAACCCAAAAACTTAAGCTGTTAGGTGAAGGTCATATTAATGGTTTTATATTGCACTCAACATGCCCCCTCACACAAGAACTCATTGGGCTTGTAAAATGGACAATGCATAGGTCCACCTACCTATGCTAAGAAACTCTACTGCAATATTTAATTATTTATTAATAGAATGGAGGCGGTGAGGATCGAATTTGTGACTACTTAGTCACGGAGGCTCTAATACCATGTAAAGAACCATTTCAACCCAAAAGCTTAACTATTAGGGGAAGGCCATATTAATGGTTTTATATTTCTCTTAACAGAAAGATCAAACTCCAATGTCTGCACCCTCCAAGATAGATGACTTCTTACTCAATTAGATGGTCAAGCATTTCAAAAGCTTAAGCAAATAGGCTAAACTGACTTCTGAAGAATACACCTGCTCATATGCACTAGGATGTGGACCATGGAACAAAGTGAAACAGGAAATAAATGACAACATAAAACTAATGGTGAAATCTTTTTCGCACTTAAAGTCTTGAGCCTCTAATATTTTATAGACATTTTTTCTACCATTTGTTCGATGACTAGTTAAGCTTAATTCACCTAGACTTCCACACAGACAACTGCATAATATTTAGTATTGCCAACCTAAATTCATGTAATTACAGTGACTAGTAGATTTCATATTACAGAATCTATAGAAGTATGAACCAAATACAGTTCCATCTAAATAGGATATGAACTCAATAAGTTCAGAAACCATGGTAAGAACATGGAAAACACTGTCAAAGAACTAGGATCTTGCACTTAGAACAACTCCCACTCTAAATGGCTATGACAAAATATAAGCTTTCAGCAAATTCTTATTCCCAAGTGACTTATTTTCCAAAACTGATTTCAAAACTTCCTAGAAGAGAAGGGGGACAAAAAAGAGATGAGACTGTGTTTTAAGCAATGTTTTGAAAACCGAACCAGTCGTTAAACTGGTGAAAAAACAAGTTCACAGTTTCATGGTTCAACCACGGTTGAACCAGAATATATATCTAAATATTAAATGTATCATAAGAATGTATTAAATATAATAATATAAGCACCATAACCAAGGAATAGATGTAGCCTAGTGGTTGGCATTGCATATTTCCCTCATGATGTAGGTTCAAATCTCATGTGCTGCACAACTTCAAATATTTTGCAATAATAACTGTACACTATTGTAAAGAACCAATTCAACCCAAAAGCTTAAGTTGTTGGGTGAGGCTACATTAATGATTTTATATATCTCAACACGCCCCCTCACACGAGAGCCCACTGGGCTTGAAGGGTGGACAATGCACAGGCCCACCTACCTATGCGAAGAAAGAAATTCCACTAGAAAGAAAGTGGGGGGCGGTGAGGATCGAACCCGGGACACGAGGCTCTGATACCATGTAATGTGGCCTTTATAAGGCCTTGGGCTCTCATGTGAGGAGGCGTGTTGAGATATATAGTCCCACATTGGTTGTATGTGCAACTAATGTGGAGTTTATAAGGTCTTGGGCACTCCCACTCTTTGAGCTAGTTTTTGGGGTGGTGACCTCAAGGTTCTTAACATGGTATCAGAGTCTCGCCGCCCCCCACTTTCTCTTGTGGCGTTTCTTAGCACGGGTAGGCTGGGCCTGTTGCATTGTCCACTCTTCAAGCCCAATGGGCTCTTGTGTGAGGGGGCATGTTGAGATATATAGTCCCACATTGGTTGTATGTGCAACTAATGTGGAGTTTATAAGACCTTGGGCACTCCCACCCTTTGAGCTAGCTTTTGGGGTGGTATATCCCAAGGTTCTTTACAACTATAACCGGTTTAGATAAAGAAACCGGCAGCAGTTTAGCATGGTCCCACTTAGAATGAGTTCAACGATTCTTTGGTCAGTTCATAATTTGGCAGTTCAATTGACCAGTTGATGATCCAGTCCAGATTTCTCGACAATGGTTTAACTTTAAAGGATGTCTGAGAATATGTTTCATTACAGAAATCACTCCCAGTACTCCCCCTCTTTTCATAGATTTCTCAACAATTGATGCTCCTGCCATGCTTCTTCAGGATTCCAGTTTGTGTAATGACAGTTGAAGACCACATTGTGGAGAAGGGGATAAGATCATATTGAAAGAATTAAAACATTTAAGACAAGATAAAATGACTTCTGAAGAAGAAAACATAGGGATAAGGGTACAATGAGTGCACCTTAGCTACTGGTGCTATCTCTGCTGCAATATGAATCACATATAATCCTGGACTAAAGATAAAAAATAAGGGATACATAAGACAATGGAAGATATATAAATGGAAATTAAACATTAAAATTTAATACCTTGTTGCAGATGATGGAAGCTCAAGAAATGCAGAAATAGCCTCGTCTTCACTCTGTTCTTTGCAAGACAAATATATATCACGAATACGCCTATCTCTCTTCCACACCTTTTCTCTTAAAAGCTTTGCTTCATCTACCGATATTTTCTTTTCAAGTGACCAACCGTCAATTAGAAGTAACAATCGACTCCAAAATTCCCATGGCATATCTTCCACTGGTGCATCTAGTGCCCTTCTCTTGCTTTCTTCCTTCAGTGTATCAAGTGTATCTTGAAATTCCTTCACTGACTCTTGATACAGCTGAACATAAGAGCTTATCTCTTCATCTGATTTTTGAAGACGGTCCTCCAATAGTTTTATCTTTTGTTGCATTAGTTCATTATATTTTTGCAATTTATCTGATGATAGCTTATAGATATTAGCTTCTTCAAGAGTTGCTTCCAAATTATCAACCTTCCTTCGAAGATCCTGGTTTTGTTGCAGCACTATAATAGCTTGATCAGCTTGTTTGGTTGCTTTATCCAGCAACAATTGCAAATTTTCAACCTTATCCCATAAATCCTTGCATTCAACTCTAAGCGTAGACAGTTTTGACACATCTTCCTGAGATATTGACAGTTTTGATTCCAAGTCTTTTAGGGCAGATTCTAAAGATGATCGTTCCTTTTCCAATACAACTAAACGTTCATCATTATTCTTGACATCACTAAGCTGTGTTTTAAATGATTCTATGGCATTCTTCAAAGAGGCATTTTCTGCCCTCAATGAATTAAGCTCCTCTGTAAGAGAATGGATGCTTTCATTATGACTCAGGAGGCATTCATCACTCAAAATTTCTTTTTGAAGGTCATGCAATTCAACATCTCTTCCTTCAGTACTTCCCTTTTGAGCCAACTCATTACGCAATTTCTCTAACTGGCCCTCCAAGAGTTCCACATCTATCTTTTCCTGGGTGGCAACTTTAATCCGTGCATCAGTCTCAGCCAACCTCATTTCTAAGACATTAATTTCTCCTTGTAATGCTTCCTTTTCAGCAAGAATCTTTTCAAGATCTTCAAGTGCACGAACTCTGGCCTGATTTAAAAGAAGGATGTCTGCAAGAAGAATATATAATTCTTAATAATGTGATAAGACATTGAACACAGATTATGGGTATGAGAAAGAGAAATGCATAAGTGTTCCAGAAAGATATTTACTTTTCTCTGCATTTCTTATCAGGCCTAGCAAATCCTCAAGTTGGCCACCAGACAACCGTTGGGCCTGCTCTGCTCCATTTATGTTTGTGGCCTATTTCGTAATTAAACAATTAGTTGTAATAAAAGCTAACACTCTAACCTCTTCAATTTTCTTTGCCAAGTAAGTTTATCCATGTAACAGAATGTCTCTATCCGGACTTTTGTACTGAACAGACCGTGCAAAAAAAGTTCCACCCACTAATGTAGGTTGGTAAAAGGATTCGTGTTTAAAATTGTGTGCTTCATATTGTAATATTTATACTACAGTCGAGATTCATAGGATCACATTTTACTAGGAAAAAATGGTTGAAATTCATGATATGGACACCATATTATAATGATTATGAGCAAGAAAACATTTATATCTCCTATTAATATAGTATAGTGCGAGCGTGAAACATTATGAACGCAGTGAGAAACAAAAATGTCAGAACATGAAGTATATTGCAAAGTAAATTATGAATTTATCATCAAATATCAACACAAAGAAACCAAACAAGTAGGAAAATACTTCAGCAACAGAAATTAAACTATATCTCTACAGATAAGACAAGAAATTATTGATGTTATCTTTCAGATTACTTTTTCTTTAGACATTTTAAATAGAGAAGAACAGATTTAGGACAAACTGTAGAATCAGCTACATTAAAAACTAAAGTATGTTGATTTATCTCTTGATTGAAATCCAAACACATGATTTTTTTCTTTGGTCATTCTCTCTATAGGAAATCCTCACAAGAGTTATAATGAGAAAATTAAATAAATGAATAGAAATTAATGACTAAAAATCAAAGAGAAGCTAGTGAACTACCACCACAATTGTTTTTGCTTGATTCAATTTTTTTCTAGTAATTTAGATAGTGGAGTTTGGACTCTGGATTCTTCTGGCTAGCATTCTTGTAAATCCTTTTTCCAGTTTCAAACATCCACACCCAACCATCAAAGTTCCCTTCTTGACAAACCTATTTGGACTAAAGCCTCTTCCAAAGTCAAGTCTTTTGTTTGGATAGTGGTGCTTAACAGGATTAATACTAATGACTTGTAAGTTACAGGTTCATAGGTATCACACTGCTCTTCCCTATTGTAAAGCGGCTACTATCCTTTCCTCTGGAAATGAGAATAACCTTTTTGTAGTTCCTGGTGAGCATTGGGTGTGTCCTACTTTTGGAGCAGCTTTTGATAGTATTTAGTCAAAAACAAGGTGGCAAAATTTTTGTCATAGTATGCTGTTCATAACTTTATGCAATCCTTTGGTGCATTTGAGTGGAGAGGAGTTCTCTCATCATAGATAAGGGTTTCAAACTTATTATGAGAGATAATATTAATAGCATCTCTGATTCTCTTCACTTCCTCTTTGCTCTCTAATAAGATTTTTTTCTCTCTCTGTGATAAAAATAAAATGTTACAAGTACCTATAAACATGCCAATGCCACAATTCATAAAAAGAAAAGAGAACCCATTTTTAGTTAGTTGAAGGAGATACCAAAGGGGTGGTGGTATTATCAGGTAGTACAATTGGACGATTCAAATTCTCCACAGAATCATTGTCCAAGTTTGGGACACTATCCAATGAAACCTTGGTATGCTCCAAGTCCTCATCTTGATTTGGAAGGGGACCTCCAGGCTGTGATTTCTTGATCTGTTGTTGTCTTTTATGCTGTGAACTGCAAACAGTAGGAAGAAAAAAAAAAAATCAACTCCAATCACAATAGGGCATAACATAACATGACGAAGTGAATTGAAACACTAATAATACCTGAGAGTTCGGTGTCGCATTTTGCAAGAAGCAGGAAAGGGAAATCGCACCACCCTATTGTGTTGGTTACAGTTGAAGCCACTTAGATTCCAGCACACAAAACACGTTGTTAACTTGGAAGCCATGTTTTCAATCTCTGTATCAGTAATATACTATGCTACAACTCTATACAGAAAATCTCAGAAGTAGAAGAAGAAGAAAGAGGAGCAAAGAAGTAGTAATAAAATACAGGGAAGGAAATGGTTCGTTCCTTGTTCCACATCGGATTTTTATGAGTTTCTTTAGTTTCAGGTGAGGAATCTAATTTATCTAGAGGGAAAGATACTGAGAGGTAGTGGTGTGTAGAGCCTGCTAGTGTCGCACTTTGCCACGTCAACTAAGTCAACCCATGTTACCTTATCTACGGAGACAAGGACCCTGGGTCCCACAACGTAAGTCACTTTTTCATCTGACTGACCAGATTAACCGTGATTTACTGATTTTGTATGTGTGTGTGTGCTGGAGTTACGAGGTTTACTTGAGTTGCAATGCAGCTTCATGTTTCTCGTGTTGGTTGTCGCAGGGGAATTTTTTTTTTTATTTAATCTAATTCGATATTGGACGGTGGAAGCAATTTTCATATAAAATTCAAATTATATTTAATTTATCTTATTTTAATTAGTTTAGTTTAGTTTATCTTCATAAGTATAAGGAAAAACATTATCTACTTTTGCAGGAAAGTATATTTCCATTTCTACTGATGGATCGAAATTTGTGCCATATTTTTTTTTTTGAAAAAAATGGTAGGACCCACGTGCATGTAACATCCCAAGAGCTTGGCAAAGGCAGGGAGTAATCGCCGGTGCGAAAGGGCACGGATAATGAGCGGCTCATACCAAATCTTGCAGCTTAGGGGTTCATGAATGAATCGAATCAACACCCGAAAGAGAGGTATTCCAGAGACTGTGCTGGTATGAGACGGTACAGTTAGGAATGTCTTATAAGAATTAATTGGTACTACCTATACTAACAAGATGCATCTACTTTTCGGTAGCCCGGATCGGAAGAACTCCACATTTAAGCGTGTTTGACTTGGAGCAATTCTGGGATGGGTGACCTCCTGGAAAGTTTTCCCGTAAGTGTGCGAGTGAGGACAAAGCACACTCAAAAGTCTCGTGTTAGTGTGTGGGGACAGTCATTGATTCTTGCAAGTGGCCGGGCGTTACAAAGTGGTATCAGAGCAGGGCCTCTCTTCCAGTACGGTGTGGTTCGAGGACGAACCAGGCAAAAGCTGGTGGGCATGTAACATCCCAAGAGCTGGCAAGGGCAGGGAGTGATCGCCGGTGCGAAAGGGCACGGACAATGAGCGGCTCATGTCAAATCTTGCAGCTTAGGGGTTCATGAATGAATCGAATCAACACCCGAAAGAGAGGTATTCCAGAGACTGTGCTGGTATGAGACGGTACAGTTAGGAATGGCTTATAAGAATTAATGGTACTACCTATACTAACAAGATGCATCTACTTTTGGGTAGCCCGGATCGGAAGAACTCCACATTTAAGCGTGCTTGACTTGGAGCAATTCTGGGATGGGTGACTTCCTGGAAAGTTTTCCCGGTAAGTGTGCGAGTGAGGACAAAGCACACTGAAAAGTCTCGTGTTAGTGTGTGGGGACAGTCATTGATTCTTGCAAGTGGCCGGGCGTTACAAAGTGGTATCAGAGCAGGGCCTCTCTTCCAGTACGGTGTGGTTCGAGGACGAACCAGGCGGAAGCTGGTGGGCATGTAACATCCCAAGAGCTGGCAAAGGCAGGGAGTGATCGCCGGTGCGAAAGGGCACGGACAATGAGCGGCTCATGCCAAATCTTGCAGCTTGGGGGTTTATGAATGAATCGAATTAACACCCGAAAGAGAGGTATTCCAGAGACTGTGCTGGTATGAGACGATACAGTTAGGAATGGCTTATAAGAATTAATTGGTACTACCTATACTAACAAGATGCATCTACTTTTCGGTAGCCCGGATCGGAAGAACTCCACATTTAAGCGTGCTTGACTAGCAATTCTGGGATGGGTGACCTCCTGGGAAGTTTTTCCGGGAAGTGTGCGAGTGAGGACAAAGCACACTGAAAAGTCTCGTGTTCGGTCCTGCTCATTAATTAGGTGCCACTCATTTATCATCTATGACTTGAGAAAACTAACGCCCGTATTAATTATTTTATTTCAAATTATGTTATTAGATAGTTTATCTTATCTATTACAGTATATAAATAAAGAGAAAAACTATTCTCATGTCACATGAGGTAAGTTTTATTCAGTGTTATAAAACCCGGACCTGCCCGGCCGGTTGGCCCGGAAACCGGCTCATCAACCAGTCCGGTTACATCATTAAATATTTTTTTGCAACAGGTGGGATTCGAACCCTGCTCATTGGTGTGAGGAGCACCTTTTCATACCACTGAGCCACCATTACTAGTTGAGTAGTATACACCATTTAATATATTTATTATATAACTATTAAGTTAAGAAAATTATTTCAAAAATCACATCTAATGGGGTTTGAACCCCTTCCATTGAAGTTGTGCAACATAACAAATACCACTAAACTACACCAGGTTATTATTCAGATAGCACAATTTAAAATATTTATTATATAATTAAGTATAAAATATAAATTTATATATATATATATATCCGGTTGATGCGGTTCAACCTGTGACCCACCGGTTGAACCATTGACCCAGTGACCCGGTACCTCGACCGGGTCAATGACCGGTCCGGTTCTAATAACATTGGTTTTATTCCTACACACCCTTCAATAACCGTGCAACATTTTACTTTTTTTACTTTTTTATTTTTTAGGTAGTGGGTTCCACCACTATGTGTCTATAACATAAGATTTCTTCTCTCATGCAACATGAGACTAGATAAACCCATAAATAAATATAGATAAATAGAAGAGAGTTGAACTTAAGGATTAAGCAATTATAATTATTCATAATTTAAATTGTCACTCCCTCTCTTCAAACATTCTTCTCCATTAATTTTTCCTTCCTTTTAATTTCTATCACTACAACAACTATGTAAATATAAGGATTTAAATATAAATGTTCTGATTAACAGAAACAAGCTCTTTGAAATTTAAAACAATGATATTGATAAAGATTATATTATTTGCATTAAATAAGTTCAAAATCTTTTGTTGTTGGCTTGTTGGCATATACTTAGGAAGTTTGTAGACTTTGGGCCTAGCCTATTCCTTTTACTACAAAAAAATGAATTTAATATATATTTATTTAATATAAACATTTTTTAAGATTTAATTTAAACTTTTTAAGAGTTTAACTCATCTTGAAAACTATTTAAATATTTATTTTGTAGTAATAAATTTAAAAAAGAAAACATAACTATCCCTAAATATGTCAATAGGTTTAAACTTTGGATTTTATGAATACAATGTTGCATGACATTTCTTGTATCATGTTATAGACACATAAGCATTGTGGGTCCCACTGCATAGAAAAAAAATTGGAGTGGATCTCACCCCCTTTTTAGTGTATAAAAAAAAGAAGTTGTGTCATGTAATACAACATTTTTATTTCCCTTAAATTTTTTTTGTAAATTAACGAGTCTACATAAAAGTCAATAAATATATGTTTTTAAGATTATATAAGAAATAACATTTTGTAATTATTCATGAAAGTATAACAACACAACATTTTATTTCTTCTTCCTTTAAGTTAAACAAAGCATATTTTATATATTTACTGGGGAAAAAAAAGTTTGTGTTTTTAAAGGACATAAGTTATGTCCTTTTAATTTTTAATACTATGTACTACGAGAAGTACATAGTTATAATATGAAAAGTTATTTTTTCTCTTTTTTTCTCAGTCATTTTAGTTGATGTGGAGAGACAAAAAAATAAATTTCCATATTATAATTATATACTACTGTTATGATGTAAAAAAATTAAAATGATATAACGTGTATTCTTTAAAATGACAGATATCTCTGTTTAAGCAATTTCAAAAACGCATCATGTGCTTTCGCAATATCCTAATAACAATTTGCTTAGATTATATATAGATGTAGAGATAATGTTCACTTTTGAAGAAACTGGCAGTTGACGTTAACGGAGAGTAGGACATTAACTTGTAAGAGAAACACTCAATTATGATCTAGGAATATCTATGGTGGAGCCTTCTCTCTCTTGTTCCTTCCCTACTCGTTGCAGGAACAGTGACCAAAATGTCAATGTTCATCAACTTTTTTACCAAATGTCACGCGAAAAATCTTATTTCCCAATCTGCTACGGGGCTAGTTCGCTACCCGGTATAGCGAACTCGATTTGCTGACGTGTCACGTTTCTAGTGGACACTAAGTTCGTTACACGGGGGTAGTGAACTTGATTTTAACCAAGTTCGCTACCATATGTAGCGACTTTTTTTTCTTTTTCTTTTTTAATTTGGTACTTGTTATCCACTAAAAATGTGACACGTCAGCAAACCGAGTTCGCTACACCGGGTAGCGAACTTGCCCCGTGGCAGATTGAGAAATAAGACTGTTCGCGTGGCATTTAGGTAAAAAAGTTGGTGAAGAGTGACACTTTGGTCATTGTTCCCTCGTTGTAAGCTAAAGATATGTTTTTTTAGAGGAATTGTCGCACGTGTAATTTTACATGATGAATTTATGTGAAAAATACTTAATTATTGATAGATAAATCAATAATGATAAAAAGTAAAAGAGAAAATTTTTTAGAATATGGGATAAAAAAATAAATGTTAATTTATTTTAAAAAATATCATTTTCACCTATTGTTATTTCATAATATATCGTTTAATTCTTTATGGTTTGAAATTTTCACTTATACTCATTGTGTTTGTAAAAATAAAAATAAATAAAAATGTTTCTAGCTTTCAGTTTTTGCTACGGAAATTTTTTTTGCGATACTCACATAAAATTGAGTGGATTCCTAAGAAAAAGAAAAAAAGTTGTGAGACCCACTCACTTTTATGTAAGTGTGACAGCAAAGCAAAAAAATTAAACCCTATAAAAATATATTAATTTATTTTGAAATTATTTTAAAAGTATCTTAATTTTTTATTTATGTAAAGATTTTTTTTTGGTAAACATGTAAAGATATATTTAAAATAAAGTAAAGACATATTATCGTTTACCGAAAAAAAAAGTAAAGACATATTATCTAAATGAATTATTTATGTTAACATTTTTTTATAATATTATAACACTATTAAATAAAAATTACATAAAATTGTTTTCATG